CAAGTGAGCCAGCCAGGCGCCCTTAGGTGTTACAGTTTTTAATTAAGCCTGGAGCAGTCTTGCATATTTAGGCTCCAGGGCTACTGCACCAACCATCCACTGAAATGCTTGAGTGCCAACTCTATTTGCGGCATTGTTTCAGAGAGGGAAGATACTGCAGCAAAGAAAACAAAAGCTGTGACCTCAGAGAGCTTCTAATCTGGCACCCCTGATTTTGTGAAAGGATCCCTGTGTCTGAGAAGCTGTGGAAGGTCTGTAACAACAAAAAACTCCCCCTACATTCCTGACAGGTGACAAGGTGCTCATCCTTTGCCTGGCATCACTTGAACCCAGTTCAAGACCATTAGCAACCTGGGGGTATAAAGCTTTCTGTGTCAGACTGTTTTACGTAGTTCTACCAAAATAGATTTCCATCATATTATCTTCCTCCTCCAGAATCTTTAAGAGATCCCTAGGATCTAAAAGTTCAAACCTAAACCCACATCCTGGGATTTTTTTTTTTTAATGTTTTTATTTATTTCTAGGAGAGAGAGAGAGAGAGACCGTGAGCAGGGGAGGGTCAGAGAGAGAGAGGGTCACAGTCTGAAACAGGCTCCAGGCTCTGAGCTGGCAGTCAGCACAGAGCCCGACGCGGGGCTCGAACCCACGAACCGTGAGATCATGACCTAAGCGAAAGTCGGACGCTTAACCGACTAAGCCACCCAGGCGCCCCCATCCTGGGATTTTTAAGACCCTTTACTATCTAGTACTGGAGGTGGCAAACTATGGCCCACCACATGTTTTTGTAAATAAAGTTTTATTGGAATACAGACATACCCGTTCATTAACGTATTGTCTATGGCTGCTTTCCTGTCACCACCAGAGTTGAGCGATTGTGACTTGGACTATATGGTCTGAAAGCCTAAAATCTTTACCACCTGGTCCTTTATAAAAAAAAGTGGGAGGGGCGCCTGGGTGGCTTAGTCGGTTAAGCGTCCGACTTTCGCTTAGGTCATGATCTCGCGGTTCGTGGGTTCGAGCCCCGCATCGGACTCTGTGCTGACTGCCAGCTCAGAGCCTGGAGCCTGTTTCAGTCTGTGACTCCCTCTCTCTCTGACCCTCCCCTGCTCATGCTGTCTCTCTCTCTCTCCTAGAAAAAAAAAAAAAAATTAAAAAAAAGTGGGATATCCTACTAACCCACTATTCCCTCTACTTTAAGAAGTAAAAATATCAATAATAGAAACTGATTTATTATTTGCTTGTACCAATTGTTTTGTAAGCATTTCCTTATCTAATACTCTTTATAATGCTGTTAGACCATCCCTATGATCACTGCTTTTTGACAGATGAGGAAGATGAGACTAGAAAAAGCTATATAGCTTGTCCCAGGTTATATTACTAGTAAATAGCAGGACTTGGATCTGCAGCCAGCAGCACACACCCCGTTACCATCAGACCATGCAGCTTCCCAGCATTCTTAAGCATATTATACTCATTTTGGGTTCTGTCAGGGCTCATAGTTCCTTCTTTCTGGAAGTCACCACCCATACATTTGCTGGACATGACATCTTTGTCCAGCTGGCTAATAATCCGTCTTCAGAATCCAGCTTAAATGGCACCTCCTTAGGGAGGTCCTCCTTGATTACACCTATCTCATCACCTACCCCCACCCCTTGCTCTCTTTGTCTTTTACTTATTTTCACTCTGCTTATTGTTTAGCTCAAACACAACAGTTCTAAGTTCATCATGGCAGAAGCACCCAACACACAAAAGGTGCTTACTAAAGAAATATTAATTGAATGGGAAGAATATTAATTGCTGGAAGAAACAAATGTCCTAAGAGAAGAGAGCCCGCTAAAAGGGAACAGAGGGGGAGGGGAGGATCCCACAAGAGCTCTCTACAAGGACTGTGAGAAGTCAGGTAGCCATCTTGTTTCTCAACACCTCATCAACCTTCCGCCATTGCCTGCGACGCGTGTTGTGTGTTCGGTTGGGGGCGGTTAGATTTTTCAGATTAGGATGCAAAACGTTTCTTGAAAACAGAGATAACCCCATCCCCAAAGGAAGTAAGAGTGAATCCAGGCACCCAGAAACGCTCAGGAGTTTTATTTCATCTCCTTTACACAAGCTTATTTTTCAGTGTGGATTGTTGTTAGCAAAGCACAGAAATACTTTTTAAAGTTAGCAAGTTAAAGTTACACAAAACCCATTAGAAGAGAACACCACCTTTGACATGTGGTAATTAAGCCTTGAGCCTTTTGCTCATGCTAGTCTCCAAAGCTGAATGTAGGATTTAGGATGATAAAACAATGCGACCGTTTTTTTTTTTTAAAAGGACAACCGTAAGCAAGAGGGCTCCTAAGAAAGCCAGACTTTTGCTTTGATGGTGTTGGGGGGTGCTGGGAAGTGTTTGGGGCAGCTCTTCTTCAGATACTTTCTGGGAGCCTAACGCACCAAGCCGTGGGTTAGGAGCTGGGGACACTCCTGTGAACAAACTAACCTGGTGCTGCCTTGATGGGGGACGAACTTTGATAAAAGGAGGGCACAAATGTCAAGCAGCAATTGTAGTGAGTGCCATGCAGACCAACAATCTGTGGTCATTCAGGGGACCTGACTGGGCTTCAGAGGAATTAGGGAAGGTTCTCAGGGGAAGAGATATCTGACCCAAGGTCTGAGAAGCGGAAGCCCAGAGGATGGGGGGGGGCGAGGGGGCAGGGTACTGCAGGCAGAGGGGAACTGCACTCGCAATAAACCGTTGACATACTCTGTCAAAGCAGGGGTGCGGCTTGAACTCCTTGTCCTTCCCGGCCATGTGGAGGGGACTTTGGACTTTACTACAGAGACATAAAGTTCAGGCTTATTTCTATGGATCAGCCGTGGGAGGCTTTCCAGAGCTTTCCCTCCAAACACTAGGCCAGAAGGGTCTTCTCTCTGAAACCCATGGCATCTTGCTGGGTTGGTGCTGATGGCTGTGCAAGGAGAGCAAACACTCAGCGACTCTTACTCCTATGAGGCTGCCTTTGATTTCTGGGTGAAATCAAGTTCACCCAGAACAAAGGTGCTGACCAAGCAGGGTGCCTAACCTTGGCCACATTATTTCAGTCAAGGCCAAGGCTTGGATTTCCACTCATCCTCACAGCCTACCAAGAAATTCCAGGCCTATCTCACCTCTGCTGTGCCAGGAGAGGACAGGCCTACGGTTATTTCCTTGTGTCCATCACCTTTGTAAGGGCTCAGGCTGTAGCCCCTGAAGGAGGAAATAACCTTAAGTAAACAAAGGCCAGGGACGCATAGCCCCCCAGAGCAAGTGTTCCACTGAAAAGGCCTAGGAAGGCCCCACACGGAATAACCCACAAGTGATTTGACTGCCCCATAAGCGGTAAACTTGAGCACAACTGTGAATGGTAGCAAGGTGGCCTGCAGGCAGCCTTTTTCCTTCAAGAGATCAAGAGCTCAGTGCCTGGGGCGCCAGCCAGGACGACAGCAGCGCCCGCCCTGGGCCCCGACGGAAGAGCTAGGCCCCTGTCATCTCCTTCCAGCCTCGCAGCAACCGTCAGCCCGCGGTCACCACCGTTCCCATTTAACAGACAGGCACAGGAAAGGCCAAGACCCAGAGCTGACAAACAGGGAGGGGCGCGGGAAGTGGCGCCACGGGCAGTCGCACCTGAGCGCTTAGTCTACTTTGCGAGAGAACGGTCCCCTCCTTCGCGTCCCAATCCACGCCCCCTTTTCCAAATCCCGAACAGCACGACAGTCCCAGCCCTCTGGCTAGCGGGGAAGCGAGGACGCGCTGAGCCGAGCAAGAGATGCCAGGGCGGGTGAGGGGGTGGGGGGCGAGGGCCCTTTCCCCAAAGTTTCAACCCGGCCCGGCTCGGGGGCGGGGGTGGGGAGATAGGTGGGAGGGGCCAGGTGGGAGGGAGGTCGCGGCGGGAGGAAACGCGCGCAAGCAGGCCGGAGGGGCGCAAGCGGGGACGGACGCAGAAGTTACCGGAACCTGGGGGTGCCGTGCGGCCCGGCGGCCAGAATTGGCGTCCGTCGCCGTCCCTGGGCGCCGAGGGTCTGGGGCTGCCCAAACGAAAGCGAAAGTAAAAGCCGCGGCGCGGCCGGGGGCGGAGTCGTGCGGGGCAATTCCCGGGCCCGCGGGACAGCGGGCGACGCCTGCGGCGGGCGCTGGTGCGCACCGTCCCCAGAGGGCGCCCTGTGCAAAACTGGTTGCCCGCGTACACCGCGCGGGGGGCGGGAGCCCGCGCAAAGCTGGCGGCGCACCCCTAGAGCGTGCTGGGGAATAAGTCTGTAGGCAGCGCTGCGACCCCGACGCCGCGCTCACAGTCCCCGGGAGCGCACCTTCCGCACCCCCGGCGCGCTCCAAGTGGCCCGGGAGCGCGCTCTGCAAGGGGGCCGCGCGCAGAGCCCGCGCCGCACACCCTGAAGCGCGCGCCCTGCGGACTTCGCACACCCTGAAGCGCGCGCCCTGCGGACTTCGTGGCGCTCGAGGGCGGCGCGCTCGCCTGGGGGTCTCCTTCCCTCCTGGCCCTGCTGTTCCCCGTCTGCACCTCGCCTCGTTCCTCGGCACCAGTTCTGGGACCCGGTTTCTACAGCCAGAGGGCTTTTCCCCAGCCAGCACCCCCCCACACAGCGACCCCAGTTCCTCTTGTTGGCATCCCAGCCCCGGGGAGGGGTGCTGGAGCTACCTTCTCCGGGACCGGGCTCCTGGGGTCGCCGATGGGCTTCCACTCGCTGGGGTGTCTCGGTTGGCGCGGTGGAGGTAGGACCCGAACTCCGCTTTCTCGTCGCCGAGTTCTCGCCTCCTAACTCAGCGAACTGGTCTGAAGTTAGTGCCAGAGTCAGTCCAGCTGTATTTATCGAGCGCCCCCAAGTGTCAACCCCTGGGGATGGGCCGTGACTAAGTCAACGTGGGAGGGGCCGTGCGCTTCCCCCGGTCCCACCTCACCCCGGCCCCTCCCCCCCCCCCCGCCCCTGCACACGTGCACGCACGCACACGCGCCCCACACGCACACGTTTGCTTCTTCGCCCCTGGGCTTCCAGACGGCGCCTCTTCTGCCGATGGCTCCAAGACACCTCAGGGAAGCGACGAAATTAACTGGTCACACTGAGGTGTGACTGAGAAGTTCCGAGATACAATTGCTTTTGAAGAACTTGCAACACCTTGAGTGGAAGGAAACCTTCCTGGCCTGAGATCAGGCAAGAGTCACGTCTGGTCTTTTTGTTTGCTGGCTTTGCCCTGGGCCTGAGCCTAAAGTAACCGGCTCTAGAATCTCACCAGGTAAGGATTCTTTCTTGCTTTAGGAAAGAGAGTTTCCAGGTAAGTGTCAGGGCCTGACTGCAATTTACTAGCTGCTGCAAAAATCCCAAATTCCTGAATATTTTAAACAGTTACACTATTTCCAGTATGGCTGTGTTACAGGCTGGAATTTTGTGCCCACCGCCCCCACATTCATATATTGATGCTCAGCGTGATGGTATGGAGTTGGGACTTTGGGGAAGTGCTTAAATCATGCGGGTGGAACCCTGGTGAGTGGGATTAGTGCTTTTATAAAAAAGGCCTGACAGAGCTACTAGTCCCTTCTACCCTAATGAAGACACAAACGGAAGTTGCAGTGTGCATCCCCAAAGAGGGGTCTCAGGAAAACCCCAACATGCCGGCACCGTGATCTTGGACTTCTAGCCTCCAGAACAGGGTGAAATGAGTCCCTGTTGTTTATAAGCTCTTCAGTCTGTAGTATTTTGTTAAAGCAGCCCGAACAGGCTAAGACGGTTTATATAACATCCACGTTTCTGAAATGTTGGGGATAAACTAAGTCCTTGTAGACACTAAGATAATTTGCTGTTTAAAGGAATTCAGTTGTGAATCACTTGAGAAGTGAAAACTCATATCAGTAAGGAAAAATGGTTCCTTTCTAATTTAATTTATAAATTTAAGTTATTCGGGAGATAGAGTGAAACACAACGTTAGATTTGGAAGGGACCTTAACCACTAATCCCTTTGTTCATTTTATAGATAAGGAATTTGAGGCTCAGAGAAGTTGCCCATATCACAGACATGCTAGTGGCAGGATCAGGATCAGGTTGCCTAGAAAAATAATGAATTTTCCATCCTCAAGAAGCCTCTACCATAAATTATATCCTGCAAATGCTAAGATGTATTGCACACCGGAATTCATTGCTGGCTCAAAAAGATGGTTTGAAGGAAAGCTCTTTTTTCAGTTCTTTAGTGTGGGCTGACATGGGGAACCCCAAAGATATTGCTGTGGGGCTGGCTTTTCACAGTATTAAATAAAATTATGGAGATATGGAAGAGAAGAAATACTTTTGAACTCTTTCCTTTATAATAATTGTACTGATACTTTAGATCCAAATGACTATTCTGACTCTATTCCTGTGTGCCTCCAATGTTGGCTCATGCCATTGTCTTATACTTCCTTTCCATGCTTCCATGACTAGCATGTGAGTCTTCCTCTTCCTTTCAGAAAAATCCCCCACCTCCGTTGTTCAGATGGTTTTCCCCGGGCTGGACTCATGGGTGCTTCTGGGCTGGTCCCTCCAGCCTTTCCTTCCAGCCTCTCCTCTTGCCCTGGTGTGCTTCTTAATCCTACCCTCATCCTGCTGGGCACAGTACCCCCAAAGTGCCACCAGTGATATTTCTTGAGTTCTTCACAGCTCGGCTCAGGCCAGGCTATGACTTTATACAGGACTCCACTGAAGAAGGATAGTCCTCAATTAACAGAAATGCCCAGAAATGTCTTACGACCCACAAGCCCCAACTCAAACTCTGGCTAAGGCACCAGCAGGCTCCTTCAAGGGGGGTGGTGGAGGGGAAGACTGGGAAACTCTGGGTTTAGGCAGAATTCCCTGAAAGGGGGAGTTCGTGTCAAACCTGTTAATCAGTTAAACGCCTCCGAGCTCCATCTTCACCCGTTTTGTCTGTTCTGTAAAACTAAAACTGGGCCCTTTATGTGGTTTTCCTCGCATCCCTCTCGCTGCCATGGTAAGCTTTGCCAGTAAGGGGGTGCTGGATAGAGATTACAAGAAGAAAACACTTTGCTTCCTGGTTCTCGTGTATCTGGTGTGCTCCTGGAGAATTAGGCTCCTATAGAGGCTTCTCGGGGTCCTGGAGCACACCCGGCTTCCCCGGTGCCTTGCCAGCCAGCAGCACCCAGCAGCCCTGGCGCTCCTTCACGTGGTTTTGTAGCCGAGTTCTTCCATTGAGATACCTCCCTATGAACCTAGAGAGTAGATTTCCAGGAAGTTCTAGAGGCCAGATTTCTAGCAAGTTCTACCACCGTGGCACCACAGTGACTTAACCTACCTTGTAGTGAGTCACAGCCACACTATCGTCAACAAGATTTGGCTGTCAGCCCCAGGGTGGGGAAAAGGGGGCTGTCTGTCTTAGCTCTAGGTAGGGGTAGTGGCTTGTTATGTTACGTCACGTTACTTTACATGTTATTAAAGGCTGCGCACTGTGCTAATTAATTAGCTCAGAATCATATATTTGACTTTGTTGGCTCTTCTTTCTGTGGGTCAGTCACACCCTCACTCCTGCCTTGTGGGACCACTCCCGAAATAAAACTACCTGCAGCGAAGTCGTCACCTCAAGCTCTGCTTTTGGGAGAATGTAAACTAAGGTAGACACACTCCCAGCCTGGGAGGAACGACTCCAGTCTAAGCAAAGTGACAGCAGCAGAGTGAAGGGCTGGGAGCCTTCTCCTTCCTCTGAATCTGTCATCTCTCTGTAATTTCAAAACCATTTCACAACCCTGGAGGGCCCTGGAGATGACTCAGAGCTAGGAAGAGTTCCCTCATCTTCTGGATGACAGAACCAAGGTACAAAAAGATCTTGACCCACTGAAGCAACGGGGCCGCCATCAACAGGATGAAACTGGAGAGAGACATACGTGCTCTGTGTCACTTCAAAAAGGAAATCAATTACCCACATACTGAACGTGATAGCTATTCATTTGAAAACAAAATGTGGGGTTTTTCATTGATCGCAATTTCCCTGTGAGTCAGGACTTAAAAAAAAAAAAAAAAAAAAAAGCCAAAGAAATGTGGGACAGTGTTGACAACAGCCTCCAAATCAAGGACCAAGAAGATTCTCCATGGCCTGGCCATGGCTCATCACAGCCAGGCCCGCGTCCTGGACTCTCTGCTGATTGGACAGCACATCAGACACCTCTCAGGAGCCACTTTACTTATTTACTTGTTTGTTTATTCACTTGTGTATTTATTTAGTGTTTATTTATTTTTGAGAGGAAGGGAAAGGCAGAGAGAGAGGAAGACAGAGGATCCAAAGCGGGTTGGCACTGACAGCAGAGAGCCAGACGCGGGGCTCTAACTCATGAACCGTAAGATCATGACCTGAGCCAAAGTCAGATGCTCAACCAGCTAAGCGGCCCAGGCGCCCCCAGGAGCCACTTTAGATGCACGCAGCCTCCCCTGCCGCAGGAGCTCTGCCTGCTTGCGCCGGTCCAGCCTCAGCGCTGGCAGCTAGCTCGGTGTGGGCTCTGGCCGTGTTCACGGGGGCGCGACCAGCAGTGTCTTTGGCCTTCTGTTGTCCTTGCTTTTTTCCCCTGTTGCTGTTGAGGCATAAGATGCTGGGAGGGCGCCCCGGGCAAATACACAGCATGGACACAGGGACGTTAACACGCAAGGGGGCAAAACTTTCACCAATGGGGACCAACAGTTATATTCTTCCCCCTTCCTTCCTGTCGCAGATGCTCCTGATTAGAAGTTGTTTCTACAGCCTCTTGGAAGATGGAGATCAAGCTGTCTGGTGCACCTCCTATCGGGCAGTGGCTACGTTGACAACGAACCTTCATATGAAGGTTCAATGACCCCTCCCCGCCCCCACTGTGTCACCATTTCCTGCCTCCTTTCTTCTGCTTCCTGGGACTACATTTCTAAGTAAAGTCCTTGGACATTAGCCTGTGCCTGATGGTCTGTTTTCTGGGGAGCCCAGGCTAAGACATGCTGTCCGAACCCAATCCCGAAGGCCACACGAGTGTTGTGTGCTCATTGGCTATGGTTTGGATGGGTGGCTTGAGGTTGCCACTGTGGCAAGTGGTGGGGGGGGGGGCCTCTACCAGAAGTGAGCAGGGTGGGGTGGACATAGGAGAGACTGCCCGCACGGCCTGTCAAGCAGATGGCGGCCCTGTGGGTCTTGGTCCAGCAGTGAGTGGTCGCCTGAGTTCCCTAAAGTGTCCAGTTCCAGTTCACTGGGGTTGTTTCTCCTCATGACTTCTGATCCCTAATAAATGCCTTTTAAAAGCAGAGGTAAAGATACAAATCAGAGTCAACATCTTTGTTCTGGTAATTCTTGTTTTCACAAGGGCGACCTCGAACTGCAGCAGCTAAGTCACACCTTAGAGAAGTGGTACGTGGCTTTTAACTTCAATGGAATCTGACTGTAATTCCTCATCCCTCTGGATTGTGGCAGAGTCCTTTCTCAGTGATTACTGGGGCTTGCACTCCGCTTCCCAGATAAAGTGTGAGGAGCCTATTACAGAGCAGAACATTCTGGAACACATCAACTGCACCAACTTTCAGCATGGGAGTCTTCGGAGCCTGGAGTCCCTGCTTAGGGGCCCTTTCTGCTCAGAGAGCAGCTTTGGGCCCCACTATCTATCTGCGGGAACCCCGGACTGCAGCCCCTCCTTAGTGTCACGTGAATGCTGCTTTCTGCTTTTTTCCACTTGCTTTGCAACCTACTCACACCCCTCAGCCCCCACCAACACAACATGGAAGTACTGCTGACTTCCCTCCACCTGGAGACCCCAGCCACCCTCTCAGAGCATTTAGAGCAAAGGTCACCAAGCAGACGCCTGCTCACCAAATATTGCCCTTGGCCTTGTGTTATTCCCAGTGTTTTACAAAATAGGGACTTTCATGTGTAAATGCGAGTATTTGGCTTCTCTGGAAAAGTCCGGACACTTGACTGAGCCTGGTCCTGATTCTCTCAGGGCAAGTTGGCATGGACTGAGGAGGAGTTGCTGTGGGGCCTGTGCCTGCCCACTTGGGAGGGTCCCTACCGTGACCTGTGACTTCACCTCTGGCCTCTGTAGGCATTTTGGTAAGAGTATTCCAATTTATTTCCTTGAGTATTCAGTAAGTACTTATTGAGCATCTTTTCTGTGTCAGGCCTTGTTCTAGGCACTAGCGAAAGAAATGACAAGAACCAGGGATCCTATTTTGAAGGTACTTATATTTTGATGGAGGAGACATAATTTTATTTTATTTTGTTTTATTATTTATTTTTAAAAATATTTTATTTATTTTTGAAAGAGGTGGGGAGGGGCAGGGTGAGAGGGAGGCAGAGGATCTGAAGCGGGTTCTGTGTGACAGCAGAGAGCCCCATGTGGGGCTAGAACTCAGAACCCATGAGACGGTGACCTGAGTGGAAGTCAGACATTCAGTCCACCGAGCCACCCAGGCACCCTGGAGACAGATCATTTTAAATGCAGAGATTCTAATACTCAAGATGTCCAGTGGTGGTTAACTGCGATGAACATAAAGCAGGGTAAGGGTCATAGAAAGTAGTCAGGTGAGGGATAGAAACAGGTGAGGTGCCGTCTTTTGTGAGCTGTTTCTAGAAGGTCTGTTTTCAGGTGACGTGGATGTGGACGCTGAAGGTAATGGAGGAGCTTCATGAAACCAGGAAGCGAGGGTTTGTCTTTAAGCCTGCCCACTTCAGGCCTGGGAAGCAAGAGAATGATCAGACTTTCTTGGAACGATCTAGGATAACATACAGAGGCCAAAACACTGAGAGTTCTAGTGTGTTCTTATCCTAATCAGTTTTCAGCCTCACTGTTGTAAACATCTTTATTTTTATTTTTTTTAGATTTTTTTAAAGTTTATTTATTTATTTTTTTAGAGAGATAGAGCACAAGTGAGGGAGGGGCAGAGAGAGAGCAGATACAAAATACGAAGCAGGCTTCAGGCTCTGAGCTGTCAGCGCAGGGCCCCACGTGAAGCTCGAACCCAGGAATCGTGAAATCATGACCTGAGTCAAAGTCGGACTTCACTCACTGAGCCACCCCATGCCCTATTATAAACATTTTTAAAAGATAAAGCTAAAATTCAAATATGGTGTTTACCCTTCCCATGGAGTGAATCAATCCTGTTTTGTTTCTTATATTTTTGGGAGCTGGCCTCTCTGCTTTAGTCATAGGCCTCATAGAGCAAGCCTTTCTAATTTGATCATTGGATGAGTGTGTGGCCTATCTCTTTGTGTTCTTTTCTTGGGTTATGATCACAGTTAGTGTTAAACTACTACATGCTGCCTAATCACACACGAGGATTTGGTCACCCACATAAACATGATGCTGTTGTGAGTTCATTTTTCTATTTAGAGAAGCATGTCAGCTAGAAATACCTCCACCTCATTTCCCAGACGCATGCGTGCTGAGCCCGTCGCCAAAATAGCCCCTTGAGTAAGTGGCAGCTTTAAAAACCATCCAGCCGCTGACTTCAAACTAGAAGGTCAGTGAAGGAAAGTGGAAGTTAGATTTTGAATGATTAAGGTGTCCCCAGGACTTTGACGGCGGTCAGGATTTTGGAGACTTTAACAGCTAGCCTGGGACTGTCCCTTGGATTTTCTTGCCTATTGCCTATCTTGGTCTGCTCTCTTTGGACATCAAGATGAATGTGCAGGCTTGTTCGAGGTGTGGATATGGAGTTTATCCTGCTGAGAAGATCAGTTGTCTAGATCAGGTCAGTAGATGTTTTTTGGCCTCCGGAAATAAATAACCAATATAGGAAATTTATCTTCTCACATATGGAGATGTGGGTGTTTTTGAACCATCCAAAAAATGTATTTATCACCTTTCTTCAATTCTCCCCATTTCTGTCTTCCATGTGGCTTTGAAAAAGTTATTCATTTATCTAACGTTGTATTTATGTGTGTGTGTATATGTGTGCTTGTTGCCATTTTATCTCTCAAGTTCAGTCTTTACCTGGAAATGTAGAAGAATCCCGAGTCTGGGAAAAAAAAAGTAACTGGGAAAAAAATGTAACTGTTAAATCTTTTCTATATGATTTCTAGATATGGCATAAAGCATGTTTTCACTGTGAAGTTTGCAAGATGATGCTATCGGTTAATAACTTTGTGAGTCACCAGAAAAAGCCATACTGTCATGCGTAAGTGTTTGGTGCCCCGCCCCACCACCTCTTGGGTTTTATTTATTTTTTAACAAGTAGCCAACCAGAGCTTCAAATTGCACAGTCCGGAGTTAAATCCGAAAATTATCTTCCCCACAGTTTTCATTTACATATAATCATTGACGAGCCCTACAGCAGGATTTTATGCAAAGGACAGAAAGTTGAAAATTTCAAATTTCTTATTAGTAAAATGGCAAATCTATCCACTGTTACCACATATCAAATTATTAAATATTGTGCAGAACACAGTAATTGCCACAGATATGCCTATAGAGCTTTAATTTTTTTCTTTTAAATAATTCCAGAATTCTTTTCTGTTTTTTTCAGAAAGGTTTTAAGTGGTCATTTTCTAGTTAAAATTTTTTAAGTTCTGAATATTGAATTTATTTGATTTGATTTTTCTTTCTTTAAGGCATTGCTTAGAAAATCATGAACTTAATTATTAAGTTTTATATTTGTCAATGTAAAAAATGACTACCTTTAAGAATAGTCACTCAATCATCTTGGATAAAATACATTTCTAATTTTGGCTTATATCTATTTTTTCTAGCCATAACCCCAAGAACAACACTTTCACAAGTGTGTATCATACTCCATTAAATCTAAATATGAGGAAGTCTCCAGAAGCCATCCATGGGGTAAGTTACTTAATTTTGAATTTCATAATAGCATTAAAAGAAAATTTCGTAACTTAGGTTTTTAAGTGTCTGTGTCGACATTGAACCTGCTCATTTTCTTCACTTACGTGTGCAAAGTGCATTTAAGTAACAAATATTGCTCTTTTTCCTACACAGTATAGGGGCCGATACCCAAGATAATCTAGCTTGAGTATCCAAGGTCTTTATAATCTTTCTCTGTCTGCCAGGTTTGTTCACACCCTGATGACGGTTTACCCGATAGGCCCTGTATACACTAGGTGTCTAATATGTAAAACAAAATTTATATAGTTGGAAAATATTATAAGAGCCTTTCCTTATTTTCTCCCATGATTGTTTTGGTATAGAAAATGAGTGGCGTCTGGGTGGCTCAGTCGGTTGAGCATCAGACTCTTGATTTTGACTCAGGTCATGACCTCACCATTGGTGAGATGGAGCCCTGTGTTGGGCTCTGCACTGACATTGTGGAGCCTCCTTGGGATCCTCTCTCTCCCTCTCTCTCTCTGCCCTTCCCCACCTCTCAGAATAAATAGATAAATAAATAAATAAAAAGAAAAGAACATTAAAAACCTCTAGTTCCACACTCTTATTAAAGCTTTCTGAATTTGGTAGTTCTTAAAGATTACTAGCAGCCTCTCTTTCCCCTTGGGATAGCGGTGGGTCAAAGATGCTTTGAGTTGGAAGTGATGTTTGCATAGACAAGGAAGCCTGGTTGATAAGCCAGCCTCTTTTGAAAAACCACCAATGGGATTTTGTCAGAGAGTTGGCTATTGATCGGACCCTTGCATTTATTAAAATGATGACTCATTCAACTTCTTCCCCCCTTGCCGCCCCACACAAGTCGCTCTGTGGGATGGAGCTGGCAACCTTCTAAAATTAGAAACTTGTACAGGAGGGGGAAGACTGTCTGTGATCTGCCCTCGGCATGTCACCTCATCTCACGCCGCCTCGTCTGCCTGTGCAGCCTCCCCTTCTCCTCAGGAAGACGCGTGAGATGGTGCCCACCCTACGCCCACTGCCATGTAGCTTGTTTCGCTAAAAGCTCTGCACTACTGTGAGCTTATGTCTCAATGGGCTTATATAACATTTACTATACAGTCATTTAATTC